AGATATATATTTGAATGTAAGACAGACAAATAGTGAGATATATCACAGAGGACTAGACGCAGAGTACGACCTCTGTAAAGAGCCTCTAAAAACACACTATAAATACTCGGGGGATTTAAAGGAGTTTTCTAGTTCTTATGTATTGGAACAGTTTGCCCCCACATGGAAGAAAAATATATTTTAAAATATATTTTAAAAATATTCTTCCCAAATATATTGACATATATTTGAATATATTTCAATAAATATATATATTTTTTTATATATATATATATATATATATATATATATAACATACACACACACACAGTATATATATATACTGTATGTTGAAATGCATTTTTATTACAAAATATCTGAAAAATATTTTTAAAAATACATTTTCAAATATTGAATATTTTAAAAATATTCTTCCCAAATATATTGACATATATTTGAATATATTTCAATAAATATATATATTTATATATATATATATATATATATAAATTATATATACACACACAGTATATATATACTGTATGTTGAAATGCATTTTTATTACAAAATATCTGAAAAATATTTTTAAAAATACATTTTCATATATACTGTATGTCTTTAAAAATACATTTAATATACATTTTTGGAATGCACTTACAAATATATGTAAAAATATATTTCAATAAATATATATATTTATGTATATATATATATATATATATATATATATATATATATATATATATATGTATATATATATATACACACTGTATGTTGAAATGCATTTTTATTACAAAATATATGAAAACTATTGTTAAAAATACATTTTCAAATATACTGTATGTCTTTAAAAGTACATTTATTCTACATTTTTGGAATGCATTTACAAATATATGTAAACATATATGTTAAAATTACTTTTTATATGCTAAAAAAAATCTGAAGAATATATTTAAAAAATATATATTTTTTAAAAATAGTTTTCAGATATTTTGTAATATATAAAAAACGCATTTCACCATTCAACATGCAGTATGTATATATATATATATATATATATATATATATATATATATATATATATACATATATATACATATATATATATATACATATACATATATATATATACATATACATATATACATACTGCATGTTGAAATGCCTTTTTTATATATTACAAAAAATATTTTTTTTATATTCTTCAGATTTTTTTTAACATATAAAAGTCATTTTAACATATATTTTTTACATATATTTGTAAATGCATTCCAAAAATTTAGATTTGTATTTTTACTTACAGTAAATACATACTGTATATACATACAGTATATTTGAAAATATATCTTAAAAAATATTTTTCATATATTTTGTAATAAGAACGCATTTCAACATACAGTATATGTATAATATATACATATATATATATATATATATATATATATATATATATATATATTTTATATATATATATATATATATATATATTCATTTATTTAAAAATATTTTAAAATATATTGAATACGGCCAAAATTGTAGTATTTCAAATATATTTCAATATATTTGGGAAGAATATTTTTAAAATATATTTCAAATATATTTTTCTTCCATATGGGCTGCTGAACCACCCAAGTCATCTATGGACAGCTTAAGGCTAGCTGAGAGATTGAACAAGGTGTTTCTCCTCCCCATGGTTTTCCAACCATGCAGCTAGCAAAGAGTCGGCTGGTTTGACAGGCAGCACTTTCACTTTCTGTCTCCAAGCAAATACTGAGACAAGCGGGAATGCAGGGGGAGGGGAGGCTTCAGGCCTATTAGCTGAAATGTTCCAGGCAAGTGCATGGAGATGGCAAAAAGTGCCATCTGTCAAAGTGGCTGTCTCCTTGCTAGCTGCGTTGTTGGACCACTATGGGGGTCCAACAACGCCAACCTTAGCACCTATGGAGATGGAACAGAGTACTACCTTTCTTCCCTTGGGGAACAGAGCACATTAATTAATTTGAAGTGTCTCCTTGATAGCGGTGTTGTTGGACCGCTATGGGAGTCCAACAATGCCAACCTTAGCACCTAGGAAGATGGGACAGAAAACTACCTTTCTTCCCTTGGGGAACAGAGCACATTAATACATTTGAAGTGTTTTCTTCCTAGCTGCATTGTTGGGCCGCTCTGGGGGTCCAACAACGCCAACCTTAGCACCTTTGGGGGTCCAACAACACCAACCATAGCACCTAGGAAGATGGGACAGAGAACTACCTTTCTTCCCTTGGGAAACAGAGCACATTAATACATTTGAAGTGTCTCCTTGCTAGCTGCGTTGTTGGACCACTATGGGGGTCCAACAACACCAACCTTAGCACCTAGGAAGATGGGACAGAGAACTACCTTTCTTCCCTTGGGGAACAGAGCACATTAATACATTTGAAGTGTCTCCTTGCTAGCTGCGTTGTTGGACTGCTATGGGGGTCCAAAAACACCAACCTTAGCACCTAGGAAGATGGGACAGAGAACTACCTTTCTTCCCTTGGGGAACAGAGCACATTAATACATTTGAAGTGTCTCCTTGATAGCTGCGTTGTTGAACTGCTATGGGGGTTCAACAATGCCAACCTTAGCACCTAGGAAGAAGGGACAGAGTACTATCTTTCTTTCCTTGGGGAACAGAGCACATTAATACATTTGAAGTGTCTCCTTGATAGATGCGTTGTTGGACCGCTATGGGGGGTCCAACAACGCCAACCTTTGCACCTAGGAAGAGGGGGCAGAGTACTACCTTTCTTCCCTTGGGGAACAGAGCACATTAATACATTTGAAGTGTCTCCTTGATAGCTGCGTTGTTGGACTGCTATGGGGGTCCAACCTTAGAACCTAGGAAGATGGGACAGAGCACTACCTTTCTTTCCTTGGGGAACAGAGCACATTAATACATTTGAAGTGTCTCCTTGCTAGCTGCATTGTTGGACCGTTATGGGGGTCCAACCTTAGAACCTAGGAAGATGGAACAGAGCACTACCTTTCTTCCCTTGGGGAACAGAGCACATTAATACATTTGAAGTATCTCCTTGATAGCTGTGTTGTTGGACTGCTATGGGGGTCCAACCTTAGAACCTAGGAAGATGGGACAGAGTACTACCTTTCTTCCCTTGGGAACAGAGCACATTAATAAACTTGATGTGTCTCCTTGATAGCTGCGTTGTTGAACTGCTATGGGGGTCCAAAAACACCAACCTTAGCACCTAGGAAGATGGGACAGAGTACTACCTTTCTTCCCTTGGGGAACAGAGCACATTAATACATTTGAAGTGTCTCCTTGATAGATGCGTTGTTGGACCGCTATTGTGATCCAACAACTCCAACCTTAGCACCTAGGAAGATGGGACAGAGTACCACCTTTCTTTCCTTGGGGAACAGAGCACTTTAATAAATTTGAAGTGTCTCCTTGATAGCTGTGTTGTTGGACCGCTATGGGGGTCCAACAACACCAACCTTTGCACCTAGGAAGATGGGACAGAGTACTACCTTTCTTCCCTTGGGGAAGTGAGACTTCTTCTTTATTACTTCTTTGTTCTCCTCTCCTCTGGATATTCTTGGCTACATCCAGCAAGACAACTGCTGGGGCAAGGAGGTGCAAGAGATGGTAAGAGGAGTCATATCCGCCATCCGTTTAATATGCTCACATTTCTTTGAAATGCACCTTTACATTTTAGCTGCTCAGTAAGAACAAGACATAAGGTTGCCTCCAAGATTCTATAAGCCATAAGAAAAACGAAAAAAAAAAAAAAAGACGGGGATTGCGGCGATAGATAAAATCCTTTCCCTGCCGGTGTCACGTGCGATTAAGACGATAACGACAACTTGCGAAATATCTAACAAATGTTCTTTTCTTTTTCTTTTGCAATTTCCATTTAAAAAAAAAAAAAAAAAAGAGTGGAAAAAAAAAAAAGTCTGAACATGTTTGTAGAACAGAAGATGCCAAAGTGGAGGTTTACAACACAAAAACCCTTTAGATGTGATTACGTCTTGTAATTAAGCATTCTCAATACCTCTAATCAGTTTTTTACAATCTCTCCCGACCCACCGCTGCGCTCGTTTTCGCAACTCCCGGACGTTTCTGTAGTGTGCTTGCGAGATAAGGCCAGAAGACATACCTAGCGAGGTTTATTTCCGAGCACCAATAAGAGGATGAAACCATAGGGGTATATTTTATCATGCTAAAATTACCTCGAGAGGGAGGCGAGGAAATCAAGAGGCTTTATGGCGATCTAACGCCACGTAATAAAACGCACAGTCTAGAAAGGCAGGCTCAGACGGCGGTTTGGATGGGGTAAAATAAATCAAAGGACTCCCACCAGAGATGCTGGGGTGGGGGTGGATAAACTTGGAAGAGGGTGACCTTGAAGTCTTTAAGTACCTGAGTATAAACAACATTTGAAATGGTGGTGAGCTTTCGATTCTCGTTCTATAAAAAGGATGGGGATGGAATCTGCTACCCAGAATTCACGTGTTCTTCTTCGTGCGTTTCCTTTTATGCTGTGGATGCATTATAGGGATATAGGTGGCATATCAGCAATGATTGGGTAGGTATATGTACAGGGGTGGACTGACAACTCATGGGGCCCCTGGGCAGTAGGGGATCATGGGGCCCCTGTGTCCTCGCCTACACTCAAACCACACCCAAAAAAGCCTATGAAAGGTACCAGGGGCCAGGGGCGGACTGACAACTCATGGGACCCCCGAGCAGTAGGGGATCATGGGGTCCCTGTGTCCTTGCCCAAACTCAAAAAAGCCTATGAAAAAGGTACCAGGGGCATCTCATGGGGCCCCCTACTGCCCCCGGGCCCTCAGGCAGTGCCCGAGTTTCCAAATGGTCAGTCCGCCCCTGCACATACTAGGGCCAATTTAGACAGGAGCCAATTCACCTACCAGCATGTCTTTGGAGTGTGGGAGGAAACCAGAGTAACCTACTCAGGCACAGGGAGAACATGCAAACTCCAGGCAGGTGGTGCCATGCTTGGGATTTGAACCTATTGACCCCGGGCCCTCGGGCAGTGCCCGAGTTTCCAAATGGTCAGTCCGCCCCTGCCAGAGGCACCTCATGGGGCTCCCTACTGACCCCGGGCCCTTGGGCAATGCCCGAGTGCTCAGTCCGCCCCTGTAAATGTAGGGTGCCCCCTAAAGAGCTGCTGGTAAACTTGAGTCCTTTCCCCCCTAGTGCACGCACACAGCCAGGCACACACCATTTTCTTCACTCTTCCACTGGCTTGAAGGAACAATCTAAGAATGCCTTTTGGAGGTTTTTATTGGGACTTTGAACTTGGATGGGGTAAGGGGAGCATGGGATACCTCAAGATGTTTGAACTGAACACTTTGAGGACTTTTTTTTTTTGTGCTGAACTGTACAAATATCCCACAGAATCTCTATGTTGATGGTAACTATGACTTGTTTATTTATTTTAGGTACTTATATAGAGCTGTCAATTTTACGCAGCGCTTTACATATATATTGTACATTCACATCAGTCCCTAACCCTCAAGGGGGGTACAATCTAAGGTCCCTAACTCACATTCATACATACACATATTAGGGACAATTTAGACAGGAGCCAATTCACCTACCAGCATGTCTTTGGAGTGTGGGAGGAAACCAGGGTATCTGGAGGAAGCCCACGCAGGTACAGGGAGAACATGCAAGCCCAGGGCAGGTGGTGCCGTGGTTGGGAGTTGAACCAACGACCCCAGTACTGCCAGGTGGAAGTGCTAACCATTTACCAGGTCAGGTATCAGGTATTAACCAGTGATCCTTATTGGGAATGGGTATAGCCAGGGGTGGACTGACAACTCATGGGGCCCCCAGGCAATAGGGATCATGGGGCCCCTGTGTCCTCGCCCACACTCAAACCACACCCAAAAAAGCCTATGAAAGGTATCAGGGGCATCTCATGGGGCCCCCTACTGACCCCGGGCCCTCGGGCAGTGCCAGAGTGCCCCAATGGTCAGTCCGCCCCTGTGTACAGCACTTGCACTCCTCCTCTCCTGTCCTTAGAGATGAAGCTCCTCATAGGCCAATCAGCTGCAGACCCGGTTGGACAGTCATCTGACTCTAAGAACACTGACAAACCAGTAGAACACGAGCTCACGAGTAGCAATTATTGTTTACTTCTATGGCGTGCATTTCAAAAATATGGGTTCATTTTTCAAAAACTATTGAGTGTTGGCAATTCCCATATTTGTATCTCTGTGGTTGGGATTTGAACCAACGACCCTAGTACTGCCAGGCAGAAGTGCTAACCATTTAGCCACTGAGCTGCCACACTTCCCCCAAAGTCCAAAAGCTATACAGTCATTAACCTTCCAGCACTGAGGTCGTCTACTCACACAGCCAAAGGATCCATCCGTTGCCTCCTTCCGATAACCATCGAGGGAGAAGCAGGCTCCCAAACCATCAAATGGCTGGAATCATAACTGATCACATGGGTGCACCATGGCAGTTACAGATCAAACTGAGGCCAAGATGGCGGCTTACTTGGCTAAAAAGGAAAGGAGGGCTTAGTGCCACTTTAACCCCTTGGCGCCCTTAAGGGTTTCAGAAGCCGGGAGGCAGGTCGGAGTTTAAGGGTCATGTGACTGCCGTGATTCGCCGTCACGGCGGTCACATGATTGGGAAAGGTCCCGATCTAAAGAGGAGATCGGGACCACTCCGTGAGTAGCGGACATGCAGGGCGCGCGCTCTTAGCACATATGTTTTTTTTTTAATTGCACACAAATGTGCGGCCTCTCGGCGTCTAGGCCCAGATGCCGGGAGGCCACACATTTGTGTGCGGCCGGTGTGAAGAGGTTAAATACAAACTCTATCATATAGACCAGTGTTTCCCAACCTTTTTTCAGTCAAGGCACCCTTTAAAAATTATGGGTAGTCCCGAGGCACCCTTTAAAATTATGGACAGTCTTGAGGCAACCCATTCTAAAATAGGGTGCCTCAAGACTGTCCAAAATTTTAAAAGGGCACCCCATTCTAAAAAATGAGAAACTATTCTAATAGTTTTTATAATGCAGCAATATCCACACTTGTAGGACACCCAACATTAGAGGTGATTTATTAACTAAAAGGCAGGCCTGTCCACCCATTGGCTTGTATACAAGTTTTGGGTAATTTTTGTGACATTTTGCCACGGCAGCCCTGAAGAAACCTCAAGGCACCCCAGGGTGCCTGGGCACCCTGGTTGAGAAAGGCTGATATAGACTGCGCATACAGAATGTGACACACAAAAAACATATTTTTAAATATAATAATAACCATCATTAAAAATAATTAAAAACGATAATTAAAAAAAGACTTTTGTGCAGTCCCAACATGTGCAAATAAAGCGCAAACGTGCTGATTCCTTGGTGTTGGATTCCGTAGTTACAGTGACAAGTGCTTCATAGTGTTCAGACTGGTGCCCCACATGGATAGACACTCACCATCCTGCCATGACCACCTATCTCTAGGTGCTCAGACTTTGGCTTCACAGCTGGGTACCCACTGCGCATGCGCGAGCAGCACTGCGCTTCATGAATGGCTCTGTAGTCTTCTGGGACCTGTCACATGCCCCAAAAGACTACAGGGGGGAGGGAGGACACATTCTGCTTCCAATCATCTAGGCCAGTGGTTCTCAACCTGTGAGTCGCGACCCCTTTGGGGGTCGAACGACCCTTTCACAGGGGTCACCTAAGACCATTGGAAAACACATATTTCCAATGTGTAAAGAGCAGCTACTGTGTTGAAAGCAGCTACTGTGTAGAAAGCAGCTACTGTGTAGAAAGCAGCTACTGTGTAGAAAGCAGCTACTGTGTTGAAAGCAGCTACTGTGTAGAAAGCAGCTACTGTGTAGAAAGCAGCTACTGTGTTGAAAGCAGCTACTGTGTTGAAAGCAGCTACTGTGTAGAAAGCAGCTACTGTGTTGAAAGCAGCTACTGTGTTGAAAGCAGCTACTGTGTTGAAAGCAGCTACTGTGTAGAAAGCAGCTACTGAGTAGAAAGCAGCAGTATTGGAGGTAAAACGACACTTCATGAATTATAATTACTGGGTAAATAATTTTATGATTGGGGGTCACCACAACATGAGGAACTGTATTAAAGGGTCGTGGCATTAGGAAGGTTGAGAACCACTGATCTAGGAGATCGGACCGGAAGTGGGAGCGGGTACCTGTCAAATTCGGGTACCCACTCCCCCCTCTCCCCTAAGGTGCCAATCCTTAATGGGGAGTGGGGGAGCAGTCCTTAAAGTGGAACTTCCCCTTTTGGGTGGAGTTCCGCTTTAACCATTAAGATCCAGCTCCCCCTAGCTTAACTAGGAGGGTGCTACATAAGTTTTTGGAGTGTAATTTAAATAAGAGAACCCCAAAATGTATGTTTACAGTCCTCCTGTTATGCTCACTCTAAAGTTGGGAAACAGTATGTGTTAAAAACACGGGGCCAAGCAGCAACTTGCAGATCCCGAGGTTCCCCTCAGTCCTGGAGTCATCCTCAAAGTAAAAAAAAAAGAACAAAAGATAAAAGCACGGCAAGAAAAGAATGATAAGTAAGTCCAGGTGGCTGCCATAATTTAAAAACGAATATTGAAATTCTTCCACAGTTCTCTTTAGAGTATCACCTCAATTGTAGAAACCTTTTTTTATGAGGGACACAATGGAAAAAGCCATCAGAGCGGCAGGAATAGTGCCAGAGGAGCACTTTAGTCAGACCTGCTCTCAGCCTTGCACGGCGGAATTATGAAAGAGACATTTCACCGCGTTCCATGAGATTGTCTATCCGGGAAAACATCAATACTTAGTTACAAATGACACACATGTGGGATGAGCAATTGTCTCCTTTTGTAGCTGGGATCTGTCTTTGTCTCCCGTCCAATCATCTCGAAACAAAGGCCTTGTCAGGGTTTTCAGAATACTCTTGCTTAGATGCAATCATTTCTTTCTGTTTGCATCTCAATCATGTCGGTTTGAACAAATGCTATTGGTTACCCATTTAACTTTTTCCTTCTCTAGTTAACATGTTTAAAGAGGGGCTCCGGGCAGACATCTTGAGTCGCAGATACATATGCAGATATGGGACAGGTTCAGGGGTGGACTGACCATTTGGAAACTCGGGCACTGCCCGAGGGCCCGGGGTCAGTAGGGGGCCCCATGAGATGCCCCTGGTACCTTTTTCATAGGCTTTTTTGAGTTTGGGCAAGGACACAGGGGCCCCATGATCCCCTATTGCCTGGGGGCCCAAGAGGCGGACTGACTATTTGGAAACTCGGGCACTGCCCGAGGGCCCGAGGTCAGTAGGGGGCCCCATGAGATGCCCCTGGTACTTTTTTCATAGACTTTTTTGAGTTTGGGCAAGGACACAGGGGCCCCATGATCCCCTATTGCCCGGGGGCCCCATGAGTTGTCAGTCCGCCCCTGGACAGGTCATATTTCCCAAATGGATTTGCAGCTTTGTTCAGCTAGTCTTGTGATTCACCAAGAAGTGTTTGACCAGGATGTTACCAATTGGTGAATCACAAGATTAGCTGAACAGAATCACAAAACCGTTATATTTTAAGGAGGCGAACAGGAACCCTCGGGTCTAGAAAGCCGAAATTTGAAAGTTCTAGGTATGGCAATTTTTACATAGACGCATCGGTCCAGCTTGGACCAATATAAGTATGTACAGTATTTATATAGCGCCAAAGGGTATGCTCAGCGCTGTACAGTAGCGAGGGGGGCAGAACATGAGACAAGACAGTAACAATACAATACACGAGGGGTTCGAGGGCCCTGCTCTTTCCAGCTTACAATCTAGGAGTATGTTCCATACCTGCGGAAGCTGGAATTTACTGTAGAAAATAAATAAATAAAATTGGTGTAGCGCTAAATAAACACTACCATGTGTATCATAAAGGTGAAGAACACTCATTAAACCGTGTATACAAACATAAATCATAAATACATAGGTGTTATATAACGTGCAAACACTACAATACATAAATATTGGATGATTCCTTCAACATAGGGAGTCAATAAAATGTGAACATAAAAAACATAAAAAACACAGTGCAAGTGTACAAACCACACTCAGTGTTTATTTACAATGCAGCAGGGGATCCCAAAGCTAGTGGAGATCATTGTAGTAGAGGTGTAGTAGTGATTTCCACTGCAG